CTCTCTCTCTCTCTCTCTCTCTCTCTCTCTCTCTCTCTCTCTCTCTCTCTCACCCCTCTAGTCAAATGATGTATTCTGAAATTTTGAAAATACAGGGTAGATTGTGTTTTGAGGAGCTCAACTGTTTCAATGCGTGGGAGATACAAATTTTCTTCCTACATATCTCTTCTTGGCTTCCTCTCTCTGTCTCCACTAGTCTCCCTTAATCGCTGATATTTCAAATTCATAATCTGTATCAAGGGGGTGGTAGGCGGTTGCTCTAGTGTGGTTTTCTCCTTCTTTCCTATCAAATATCTATCATCATTATCTCTTCTCTATTTTTCCTATCAAATATCTATCATCATTATCTCTTCTCCATTTTTCCTGTCAAACATCTGTCGTCCTTATCCGATTCTCTCTTCCTTCTTTTCTAGATCTAAAGATGTATGCTGCACTCTTGTAACACCTATAATCTACGGCACTTACTTGACTTATTAATTGTGTTGCAAGTGCCGTAAAACTCTTACCAAAATTTTTAAAAAAATGAAAATAAAAAACCACCCCAAAACCCCCCCCCCAAAAAAAACAACAACAACAACAACACAACAACAAACAAACAACAAACAAACCGCAACACTCCTCGATGTGATTGTCTCGAGTAAAGATCTGGTCAATAATTATCGTAGTCATAATACAATACATGTGGTAATTAGCATTCTCATACATAGGAAACAGGCATAATGCTTCCTTCTTTCGTATCACTTCCTCGCTTCCTCTTTCTCCCCCCCCCCCCTAGTCTACGTCAACAGTTTACCATGTCTCAATGAGATAGTCTGTATCAGCAAGTAAATGTTGGCGGCCATACCTCTGTCTCCCCATCCACGCTTGACAAAGGAGATCATGTACAATGCAAAATGTGTTACTATGTTGCTCATCGTAGATCTATACATCTGTCATGCCTGTTCGAGAAACTGAATGTTTGTGTTTGTAAGAACGTGTGTATGTCGGCTATAAATAAAGTATTACTAATGGCGGTGTGTTTTTGGGTCTGTTGTTTCAAAACATTTCATTAACATGTATAGATTCTCTGTCTGTCTGTCTGTCTGTCTGTCTGTCTGTCTGTCTGTCTGTCTGTCTGTCT